ACTAATACACGGCCTCTATTGAATTGGTAAATTGTAACTATTGGAAAAAGTGATCAAAGTCACGCATTATTTCAAGTTAACTAAAGTGTTAATGTGAATGTGGGCCATAAGAATGCCCCAGACATTGTAAATGGGAATGTAAGATTGTACAGTCATTTTGGATATCATTCTGGCTATTTTTTAATGATGCTAAAAATATACTCAGTGTATTACCTACCCATTCAACTCATAGGTATTTACTGAAGATTAAGAAAAACAATAAGATTGTTCATAAATGCTTATAGTCCCTCTATTTAAATTTGGCAAAACCTGGAAACACCTAATCATTGACAAAAAGTGTTATGAATACAGAAATCATGGCATATTCATCCTATAGAATGCTGCTAAGCAATAAAAGGAATAAACAACTGATACAACATGGATGAATCAGAATACAACATTGCTGAGTGAAGGAAATCAGAGAAAAATGATATGTACTATATGATTTCATGTATTATGTTACTAGAAAGTAAAAATTAATATATTATGACAGAAAACATTAACAGTTACCTGAAATTGGGTGTGAATGAGTTAAAGAAAGTGATTATAAATGGTCCCAAGAAAACTTTGGGGTGATATTTACATTATCTTGACAGTAGTGATGTCTTCATTGTTGCATACTAATTCAAAATTGAAAATTTAGTGTCACTTGCACTTGTGCAGTTTGTTAAATATCAATTAGACTTAAATAAATCCAGTATAAAGCACAGTATAATAGAAATAGAATACCAATGGGCTTTATAGTTAAATATTATACTGTTGAAAGTGTTTATATTATAGAGCATGAGGAATCTTTTTGTGAGGAGATTCTGAATATCAAAGAAAAGTGGAGGAAACGAGTATTTCACATAGAACATGATAAGTTAATATTTATAAAACAATATAAATTCTGGAAATATTTCTGCATTTTTAAATAATATAAATCCAAGTTGATGAGACTTGTGATAATTGAAGATCTGATTTAATTTTCCAATTTTTTCATGACATCAGTCAGAGATTATTTGAAGAAAACTGTGTGACGACATGTAAATTGCAACATTGAATTGATTAGAAAATTTGGTTGATGAGACTTTATGGTGGGTATATTGAAAGAATCATCATATCCATTGAATTTTACAGTTTATTTCTAGTCAGAAAGTAAATAATTTAGAAATTCTGTCAGTGTTATAATGTATATTTAACCTTTTCTGTGTGTGTTCTTGGTAAAATAGCAATTTTTCAAATAATTTAAAGTGCAACTGATGCCAAAACATACAAAAGTTTATATATTTGGTCAAAAGCAAATAGACTTACAGCATTAAATATTAGTATTCATTGCTTGCTTTAATTGAGGAACTTTCCCAAGTTATAAAACCACTGGAGACTTGTGCTACAGAAGTGAGATATTTTGATAAATTGCATTTAAATCAGAATTTATTTTCACTTATAAAAGTCTATATTTGCTATGAATTTTACAAATTCTTTTCAATGTGGTACACAAACGAAATAATTTTTTCATTTTTTATTTTGTAATAAAGATGTACCTATTATTTGAACTAAATCATCAATATGCAAAAACCACTTAAAACAGAGAACATGTTAAGAATTTTCTCTACTGTTTTCAAAGTTAAAAAACATTTCCTTTAAAGACAAATAAAACAATTATGTTTTTTCTGTCTGTCATACACATGCACACATGTACATGCCTTAAAACTAACTGATGCTAGCATTATAGTTGGAAGTGAATTTTGGCGATGCTATAATATATAATACAAATTAAATTAGTATTTTATAACAATATTTATCTTTATAAAAGGATTATTCAAGCATAGGTACCCTGTTCACATTTTGTTAATCTGAAAGTATACATGATGCTTCCTGATCACTTACTTGAGTCTCGGGAAGAAGCCTTCCCTACTCTCACTATGCCTAACTGCTCTGCTCAGCAATAGGTCTTTATAAATATCTTCATATTTTAATTGATAAAACTGTTACATTAGTCTGCTACAGCTCTCATAACAAAATATCACTGACTAGGTGGCTTAAGAAGATATTTTTTCTTATTGTTCTGGAAGCTAGAAGTCCAAGATCAAGGTGTTGGCAGTGTCAATCTCTCCCAAGGCCTCTCTTCCTAACTTGTAGGTGGCTCCCTTCTCGCCAGGACTCAGGTGACCTTTCTCTGTGTGCACGTCTCTGGTTTCTCTATCTCTTTATAAGGACACCAGTCCTGTTGGATTAAATCTCTACCCCTATGCTTCATTTATAATAACTAAATACCTCCTTAAATTCTCTATCTCCGAATACAGTCACATTGGCAGAATTTCAAATTATGAATTTGCAGGGGACATAGTTTAATCCACAAAAATTGGTGTAATTCAGAATACCAATACTATTTGAGATATTTAAGATCATTCATCTGTGGTAGCTGATTTTCCAGATCCCTTCCATGCAATGCCTTTTTCTGCTCTTTGGAAAACTATTAATATCAGAAATATTTTATTAAATGAAATGTACCTTAGAACACAGTAATGCTTTGTCTTTATTATATCTGCATTTATATATTAAGGGAAAGAGATGCCTAGGCAAACTCCATGCTGCTGCCTAACATCAACAAGTGACTATCTCTTTAATCCCCTTAGGGAGAAATTATCTGTTTCTCAGAACTGAAGAGATTACCTGGTTTAGGACTTGGCTCAAGAAAGTTTAGTGAGATTGAGGTAGAGTGGGTAAGGGAACTGTGATTAAATTTTCTCTTCGTATCACAACCTTGTTCTCTCAGACCCCAGAAATTCTATTCATCAGAATCAAAAATCTCCTCCTACTGAACTGGATGGACAGTTTGCCTGGAAATCACAGACACTCACCTTTTTCTAAACCACTTACTTAAATGAGTAATGGCAGCTGGGATTCAGAACCAGTTGGTCACTTTACATTTTCAATCTTTAGGCAGATACCAGGTAAGCACGTTGTTAATATTTATTTTAATAAGAATTTAAAGTAATGTGAGCCCTATAATAGACTTCCTTTCTGGATATCCTAAAATTTCCTTTGACACAAAATTAAAATAATGTTTTAACACAAAGCAAGAGAGCACTCTTATATAGGGCTGTTTAGAAACAACCATGTAATGATGTATTTTGCTTCACAACTTCCTCAGAAAAAATTAGGGATAAAGCGGATTTCGCTCCAGTTAATTCTTGAGTGACAGATGGAGTACTATTGTTTACTCTTTAGACAGAAATATTAACAAAAGATATGTGATTTTGTTTTTAAATTTACATGAGTTACTAGCAAACCCAAAGCTATAATATGGCTCTTTTTTTTTAAACAAGGAATGTTTCCAGTGATCTTATTATTGACTTTAACTGTGGATTGAACTGCTCAGCTGAAACTTCTGAGAGATTATTGGTTGAAATTGAAAAAGTAGTTACCACAGCTTAGTAACAGTACCATATTTGTTTAGAAAATCCAGAGCACAAATCTGATCATCTCCAAATGACTATGAATTAGAGAAATAACAAAGCACTGGAGCTAAAACAAAAAGTAAATCAAAGTAAACTTATATACATATACTCTTTACAGCAGTAAAATAATTATAAATGACAATTTTAAGAAACATAATTGTTCCTATGATTCTGTAGTTGTTAATACTAAAACCAGATTCAACCTTTTATTGTCTAATGTCAGGGGTCTTGCTTCTAGACATTAAGTAACAAGTACTAAATTCATGGAATCTTCTGATTTTCAAAATGAAGAATAAAGGCCTATCTGGGGTTTAGACAGTTTTTGACTATAGATTCTCTAGCTCCTAGATCATGCTGATACGGGAGTTCTGGGAAGGGAAGAACCTTGTTGCTGGAAATGATATGGAAAGTGCTGGGTGGAGAACTGCTGTCCCTGGCTAGGGCTCCACCCTCACGACCTAGGTGAAGACAGGCACTCCTGTCTTCATGCCCAAATGTTGCATTTCCCAGGACCACTATGGCCAACCATGCCCCAATCCTGTGCATATAAAAACCCCTGAGACCCCAGCAAGCTAGACAGAATCCACTAGATGTCATGAGGAACACATCGGCAGAAGAAGACACAAATGGCTGGTTGTGGAGCGCACGCCAGTGGAAGAACATGCCAGCAGGCACCATCAGGCTAGCAGGTACCATCAGTCAGGCCAGCAGGTACCGTCAGGCCAGCAGGTCATTGACTGGAGGAACAAGGCGGGTTTAGCTGGATGGTCAGAGAAGAGTCAGCCTCAGAAATGCCCAACTCCAGAGGAAAACTATCTCCCTTCTGGCCCCAGCTACTGAGAGCTACTTCTACTCAATAAAACTTTGTAGTCATTCTCCAGGCCCTCATATGAGCCAATTCTTCCAGTAAACCAAGGCAAGAAACCCTGGGATGCAGAAATACCTCTGTCCTTGTGATAAAGAAAGGGGTCTAATTGAGGTGTTTAACACAAGCCACCTATAGATGCCAAACTAAAAGAGCACCCTGTAACACATACCCACTGGGGCTTCAGCTGTAAACATTCACCTCTAGACACAGCCCTGGGGTCGAACCCCACAGCCTGCCTGTCAGTATGCTCCCCTAGAGGTTTGAGCAGTGGGGCAATGAAGAAGTGAGCCATACCCCCATTGCACTCCCTGCAAAGGGGACCAGGGAACATTTTCTCAATGCCTCTTTTTACACTAAGTATTTTTTCTCAGTTGTTAGCATGTGTGATTGGAGTTTGTGCTCCAATCGAAAATTAAGTGAAAGCCTGATTGCTTTCTTTCAAGGTGGTCTTTAGCAATTCCTTGGCCTTTGAAGCAATAATCCTTAAAAACAGAGGCTTTTACAAGAATCCTAAAGTATCTGTTTTTGGTGTTTTAGTGGTTTAGATGACTATTTTATACATTTTCCTACCTCCTCCTTCCCCTATCATCCTACCCATTCTTACTCTTAGCAGGTGACCTTGCTTCTTTTCTTTTTTTTACTTTTCTCAGAAAATTAAAGCAACAGAAGAATCTTCCGGTTTTCCATCATGACAAATACCTGTCTCCAAGCATCTGGAGCCACACACTCCTGCCCATACTCGTGTCTAGAAGGTATGTTTGGTTGTGTTTGGTCCTTACCATTTTTGACAAGTCAAAGCCATCATTACAAAATCCTATTGTCTTCTTCCAGTAGCATTGTTTTTTCTCCACTAAATTATTCTCATCTATTGTGTCATGCCATGTTTTTTCTCTCTGGAAACAACCTCTTGCCTTAATCTCATTTCCTCTCCCAGTTACTGCCTTATTTCTTGCTCTTTGCAGAGTATTTTCTTAGAAGAGTTGTTTATGCCAATCTTTTCAATTCCTTTCTTCCCATTTCCCCCCAACAGCAAATAGACATTCATTCTGAGAAGTTTTCTGTTCAAATCACTCACTCAACATCACCAACAACCTTCACTTTGCTAAATCTATTGTCCATTATACAGTTTTAATTTTTCTCAGACTATTAGCAGTTTTGATACAGTTAAATACTTCTTTCTTTTTAGTGTATGCATTAGTCAGAATAAGCTAGGTTATGCAACAGTAAAAGCCAGTCCCCAATAGCGCCAATTTTATGTTGCATACATTTTACAAAATGAAAAATGTTAAAAAAATTAAGTAACATCATGTCATTTTTGTACTTACGTAGCTGAAAGCTCCCAGTTTCACTTACCTGTCCAAACTCATGACCTCTGTGGTTATCTCTCCTACTATTCTCTCCCTCATTCACTTTGTTCCCATCAGACTATCCTCTTTGCTATACTATCACCTACGTTTCTTGCTCTAACCATGGCTAATCCTCTCTCTACCCTATATTCATTGATTAAATCTCATCTTTTAAGTTTGTGACCTGATTGCACTATTTAAAATGCAACACACATCTAGATTTCTACTATTCATTGACTACATATTTTTTGTAGTAACTAACACCCAATAATATTATCATGTAATTTGTTAAGTTAGTTCTTTTTGGTTGTTTATTATTCCTACTTGTACTAGCCTGTAAGTTATACCATAGTACAGAGCATTGTTGTTTGGCTTGCTGATGTGTTAAAAATGCTAAGGATAGTACAAGGCTCATAGAAGAGGCTTAATAAATATTTGTTGAATGTTGACTGAATAAGTGCCACTCTGCTACCCCCAGCCTATGCTTATTTCATATATCAGGCTTTCCAACCTTAATATTACTGAAAATCATATTCACCTTCATTGTGCAGGTAAACTTCACATACCACAATGATTTCAGTTTTCTTCTAGGTCTTCATAATCCATTTCATGTAGTTAAGAATTACTTGTGTTAGACTTTGCTTTTTCTGTTCAATCACTTGTTTTTTGTCTACTTCTCTGTGTATTAGTATTTCTGTAAGAATGAGAACAATAATCTAAAAAGCACTAAACTTTTATGACAGTTTGTTTATTTTTTGCTTTTATTGTCTAGTAGTTATAAATTATATTTATATATAGCTATGATTTATTTATGGGGGCAATTTAACATTACTAGCAGAAGTGCTATATGGGTATCATCCAAAGTTTTATTATGCAACTTATTGCAATTACAGGGTGTCATCAATATTTGGTAATAACTCCAGGCACAAATTTTTATTATGTATCTGAACTTTAAATGTGAATAGTTGGGATATTCAAATTTAAAAGAGAATAAATAATTAGAAATAACAATAAGAGGTTTTCATTTAAGAATCTCTATTTCAGAAATATAAACAGAGTTCAAAAACAATCTCTGAGTTATCCTTTAGGATTTAACATTTAAGACAGTTTATAAGGAAACTTGTTCTCTAACCACTTAAGGTAAATGACAGTAATATTTCTACCTGGATTTTAATATGATTTTAAAATTGTTGTTATAAAACTACCCACATATATTTCATGAACACATTCAATGCACTATTTCTGGACTCACAAATATATATACAAAGGATTATATTTATTTTATTTTAGTTTTTTAATTAATCAAAATAACTCCCCAAATCCACTTGAACACCTTCCAAAATTTATATGTAGACATTTTATGCAGTAAAGTCAGAGTAAATGTTAATAATTTGGCCTTGCAATTATTTTAGCACTTTGCAAAAATATGCTTATAAGCAGTGGTTTACTGATTTCACTTCCCACTCCCTGCCCAATTCTTGGGCAAGAGTTTGCTTCCCTGAATGATGTTTCATTCATTGCCTTTGAGTAACCCAAGGAGTAGGTCTTTGCAACCCCTACATTTCTGCCATCAATCAGTTCTCATTCCATAGAAAAGAATTTTTGATCAATTATACCACTTAATGATAGTGTGCTTTAGCTTGAAAACAATGCAGTTAGCAATATATGAAAGCCCTGATTATTTTTAAACATGCAAATGAATACATGACTGATTTCTTCAAATTTCCTATTTCTACCCTCTTATTTCAAAATACAGCCCAGGAGAGCTGGCTTGAGCAATGGCTTTCTCTATCATTCGAAGGATTCCAGAGCAGTTTCATGCTGTTGAGTATCAAATCTAAGATTTATAATTTTTGTTTGTTTTCTTGTTTTCTCAATGGTATGCTGGCAAATGTTGAATTATGGGATATGAAAAAATGTATACGTATAAGTATGTAACTACAGTCATTGGGATTTTCACTTACACAATAATGTATAGCACAGAATTAAGAGATAATAAAATATACTTCATATATATATATATGCTCTTCAGTGTAAAATGTGATGCTTTGATATACATATACATTGGTAGCAATTGCAACAATAATGCTAATTAACATTTGTCACCTCATATAGTTACCTTTTTTAAAATAATGAGAACTCTTAAGATCTACTCTCAGAAAATTTCAAGTATACAATACATTATGTATAGTCACTATCCTGTACATTATATCTCTAGAACTTACTCATCCTATAACAGCAAGTTGTACCCCTTGACCTAAATTATCGTATTTTCACCACCCTTCAGCCCTAGGAGAAAATATTTGCAACACATATATCTGAGAGGGGACTAATATCTAAAATATAGTAAGAACTCCCCCAATGCAATAGCAAAAACACAAATAACTAGATTAGAAAGTAGGTAAAGGACCTAAATAGGCACAGTTTTCTAAAGAAAATATACAAATAATCAATAGGTATATGGAGGTTTCTCAAAAAACTACAAACAAACTACTGTATAATCGAACAATATCACTTCTGGGTACATAATCAAATAATTGAAATCAGTATTTCAAAGAGATATGTGCGCATCTGCAGCATCATTTACCATGGCCAAGATACAGACAAATTTACTCTTTATTGTGAATTCAATATAGCCAACTGATACTTACAGAATGCTTTCACTGATTTTTTTTGCCAACCTCTCTAAACATAGAAAATATATAATTGAAAATTGATTTACAAATGTATTTCTGAAATGAATAATAGTTAACATTTGGTTTACATTAATATGTAAGAGAAAAACCAATGATAATATATGTTGGAACTTGTTCTTCAATGACTTGAGTCACTTATTTGCTGAATAAGAGAATGATTTATGAATATTCAAATATTTCCTCAATTTATTGTGCCATTTACAATTTAATGTCTATACACATGGCACATTTTACATGTAATCTGCATTAAGACTTCATCACTTTCTTAAGCATGTACATTCAAAAAATAAAATAAACAAAATCATGATTTGTAGCATTTGCTATTGACATTATAAAATTCTCTTACTGTAACCAATTTCAAGATAGCAATGTGATATCACTCAACATGTATTTGCACCTTACACATAGAATAGACTGGATATTTAAGGGATCATTAAAAAAATCTTTAAGAAACAACTTGACTGTTTCAGATACCTTTCTCATACAATCAGCAAGATTCAAACTTTTACTTTAGTCTACTAATAAAAATTCTAATTAGCTTATTTCCCCTGCATTTTTCAATCTTTAACATACCACTTACTGCGTTTTGCTAAAGGTGGTAATCCTATCCAGCTGGTCTCTGTGGTTTTTCTAGAATGGCATAATAAGCATGCTTTGATATTCAGGGTGTGTAGGTTGTTTAGAACCATAATTGTTTTAATGGGCTGCTCTCTTCAAAAACACAGTTGGTTACTAAACACAGCAAACTAAAGAGTTAGGCTAATAAAAATTAGTGAATTTATAGACTGACAATAAATAGAACTTTGTTTAATATGAATAGTCACTTGCATTCATTTTAAATTCTGTGGTATACTAAGTAACATTTACTATCCTACATATCATCCTTCAGTAATGCTTTGGAATACTGTCTGACAATAGTAAGCCGCCAGAATAATGCAACAATAAAATGCCCTTTTGTTTAATGATTCCACTTTGGCAGAGGTTTGTTTTTATACAAAATGACTCCTGTTTAAAGCAGTCAATAAAGAAGGCATTTCTACTTATGACAGAAATGAGCTGGCTCGTGCCCGGATGGTCTTTGCCTTATACTACATGGATTTCGATAATCATCACTTTTGCAGAAAATCCAACACTGGCTGAGCATACATAGGCAAAATAAAGTACATATTAAAGCAATTATCTAGGAATTTTTAGAAAAATTAATTTGTAAATAAAAAAATCACTTTTGGGATGAATTATGAGGAGTCAATTTTATTTTATTTTATTTTATTTTATTTTATTTTATTTTATTTTATGGGTTTTCTTAAACTGGGTATATTCACTTGTCTCTATGAATACAAATAAAATGTAAACTTGGGAGCTTTTAGGGTGAGATGGGATAAGAAAGCAAAGTATTTAAAAGTACAAAAATCTGAGATGGGGAATTAATATTTTAAAAATCCAAAGCTTGGCATTTTCTTTGATAGAGTTGTTCCTCTATTCCTTCACAAATCTTTAGCTTGGGTGTGTAAGAGGCAACTTGTCAGGTTTGGAGGAGATTTAACGATGATCTATAACTAAGTTTAATGTGTTTGGATTTATTTAAGATGAATCTACTTTCCCAAGGATACTTTTCCTAAAATCTAAGTCCAGATATATTTCAAGAGGAAAATTCTTGTATGTGTTTCTATTTCTTCTATAAACATTCTATTAAAATTAAAATATTCCACT